TGAGATTGACCTATGTTATATGAAGAGAGGAGACTATAGAATGAGGAGGAGGAGGAGGAGAGTGAAGCGCGGACCGCGCGCGGACAGAGTCGAGCGACGACGGAAAAATATTTGGCTGCCGAGCAAATTTTCATTCGACTGTAAACACCCGGCGAACCGAAGCGGAAAAGCTCGTACGCGAACGACGAAAATAAATCTATATATCGCATGGCGCGGGGGGAGGCAGGGGAGGGCCGCGGCGGAACCGCCCGCGCCCGGTATCCGCAATTGCGTCATATCTGTAGCTGCCATCACGCACACGGCGGCTCCGACGATTACCCGCGCCCGTTCAGAAAAGCGGGGCGACAAATGAAAAAAAAAAAAAAAAAGTAAACAAAATGGAAAAATAGGACATGTGGCGAAGAAGAAAAAAAACGACGCGTCGGTGCTAGAACGGGAGTTCGCCACTCGATTCCGTCGCCGACATCGAATCGTCCTCCCGAGAGAACGCGTTCTCTCCGAGGCTAATGCGAAAATAAATGCGCGCCAGATATATCGAGACTTCGCGGTTGATCTTTCATCATCGAGCACATTTTCCTCAAACTATTAACCTTGTATCCCGTCGTTATCTCCGCGAGCGCACGTGCACGAGTACGTTAAATGAGTACCGCATTAGACGACCTGCTTTTCGGATAAATCCGGAGAAAGTAGGATTAGTCGGACGATTATGTGTACATCGGTTAATTTAACCAAAAGGTATACTTACATTTCTTCGCATTATAAATGTAAAAGGCGAAACGTACTTTAGCTTGTATACCTTTTGTCTTTTTTTCTTTCTTTTTTTTTTTTCTATGCTTATATATTTCGCGAGCGACGATCTCATTACCGTTCCGCCGTTCAGCGACGACATAGACCGATCTCCGATTGTAATTATTTGCCGGCGCGACGAGAGGAGACGGGGACAAAATTGAAATTGAGATGAGAGAGAGAACAGAGAGAGAGAGAGAAGAAAGAGAAGAGGAGAGGAGAGATACCGCTGATATATCGTGCGCGTACCACGAAATTTGCGGACCGCAGGCTCGCTCGCGCGCGCGCGCGCGCTTCCGCAGAACCGCAATATGCATTGGTAATTACACCGCGATGAATTACACCGCGGAATGAGCGAAGCGTGTACGTGCAATTGGCGCGAGCATTATAAATCTCGTCA